CGCCCCTTGAATGTGCCTGTTCCCCAGGCCCTGGCACCCGCCTCTCCATCTGTTCTCCTGGGCTAGCTCCTCCACTCCGGAGGCTCTGGCTCTCCTTGCACTTCCGGGCGCTCTCTCCTAACTAGAGCCCAGAGCCCTGGACCCATCTGCCTCACAGGCCTTTCCACTGGGGAACCCACAGGCGCCCCACACTCAGCATGGCCACCCTGGCCCATCCCCCAGCCCAGCCCAGCCCTTCCCATACTCCCTCTTCTGAGAATGGCATCAGCAGCCACCCCAGCTCCTGAGCTAGAATTAGGAGTTATCCAACACACAGTCATCCTCGACACCTCCCTCTCACCCCCACGTGGGATTGGTCATCAACTCCCATGGATTTCATCCCCACAAAGGATCCTCAGTATACCCTTCTATCTGCCCCCACTGACAGCGCGATAAAGCAGGACCTTACACCTCTCTGATTCTAGCAGCTGCTCCCTGGGAATCTTCTTTGCCTCATCACTTAGCCCCCTAGTCCACCCTCTGCACCTCTACCATCATTTCTAAAACAGTCTGGATTATGGCCCATCCCTGCTCAAAGTCCTTCCATGGCTCCCTATTGCCTTCAGATAAAAAGCCGACACTTTCATCTAGCCTACAAGGTCCTGCCTGTCCTGGCCTCCATTTTTCTGTCATCTTTCCAACAAGCCCAACATACCCCAACTGCCCATGCTGGCCAGCTAAAGCTTTTCCCTTCACTTAGCAATTTTTTTCCACCCAATCTTATTAAAATCCTTCAGTTTCTTCCTGGCCCACCTCCTCTGAGAAGGCTTCCTTCCTGATTCTTTCATCTGTAAGTTGTAACCACTAGTCCCTTTCCAGTTTCCATGGCACCTTGTTTGTCTCTCTGGAATCCATCTGTTTTCACTCACTGACTCCTCCCCTGGACTTGGAGCTTCTCAAGGGCATGGGCTGGTCTCAGCATCTCTGTGTACTCAGTCCCGTACAGTGAGTTGGTGGCCATAAATCTCTGCTGTCCGTAGGGCTGACGGACCCAGACAAGAAGAAGCCCTCGCATGGCAGCTCCATCCCCAAGCCTGGGCTCAGCTGCACCCCGCTACTTTCTCAGAGAGCCTTCCCATTGCCTGCATCTCCCCAGATACTTCCCTTCTACCTGCTGCCCTCAGCTCAGATGGGGCCTAGGGGAGCCTCAGGTGCTGGGAGGGGGACCCTTCAGTCTACCCCGGGATTGTGCGCTTCAGGGAGTCAGCACTGTGGGCCGTGGCCCTGGGCTGTGGTTCTCCACCTCCATGCTGAGCAGCTTCTCTGATTTTAATGCGGGCCTCAGTGCTTCAGTGAAAGCCGGCATGGGAAGTTGCTAATAATGGCACTAAAATAAAATATGCTACATCTGTTATGGGTAGCAGAACAAAATTAGCTGCTCACACCTCTGACATCCAAGATGTCTTAACTTAAAATACTCCTTGGCTTACTTTACATCATTTACTGATTATATTTAAAAGAAATACAATTTTGCAATTACTGGTTCTTTCCAGTGTGTTATCTATGCATCATTTTCCTTTTATGTTTATATATTTCTCCTTCATTAGTGCAGTCTGAAGGGTGATTAGGATTCTTCAAACATTTTACAGAGGTTAAACGTTGATTAAGATTTAATTATTACTGTAAATAGCTTGGAATGACATATGGTGCAAAAGCCTGACATATGTGCATTTGAATAAATGAAGTGCTATTTCCCAGGATGCCTCAGTAGCTGTTTAACAGCTTTCCCGAAGGGTTATGTTACACCTCATGGTAAGATTGCTGGGATGTTATATTTTGTTGGTTTTTGCAGCTGAAAGCTAAGAACAGTTTTCCAGTTTTTTAAAAACATTGAATATTTTAAATACCTAAATTGTTTTGCACAAATTTTTGCTAATTTGTCTAACTAGGTTAAACATTTTCAAAAGCATTTAGATTTTTAAGCGTGGGCGCTGTGCATTGTGTCAGTGGCAGCGTAGGGACTAGGGGAACCGATAGGGTGGAGGGGGCTTGGGGGGGGGG